ACAGTAATATTTGGAGCCCCTCCCTTATGCATTTAATCTATACATTGTGGTTGTCATACTCCTAAAACAAAACCTTCAGAAATGATGGCTTTCAAAGGATCATTTTCCTCTTATTTCTAATACTAGAAATTAATCACATTGCTCCAATTTACATACAGAGTAAATTTCTGAATTTGCCTGGCAGTGTTAAAGTATCCTTGGCACTTAACAGACGTTTAAATTTGCGTTTAGTTTTTCTTTAAAAGTTTAGTTTCTGTGTTATTAATTCAATTATTATTTGCAATTAATGACCAACTAGGCCATAAAGGAAGGTTCAAACAAACAAAAACAAATACAAATTTAGATACACCTTATTAAAAAATATTTCTCTTTCTTCTGCAATTCCTCTATTGCTCAACAACTTGCAGTCCTGAAATAATGATTTCTATTGTATGCAGCTCAAGACTATTCTGAAGCAACTGGATACAATTACAAATAAAACAAAAGGAGAGTCCTGAGAAGAGGGGTAGGAAGAAGGTTAGATGCAATTCTGATATTTTAAAAATGCACTCCTCAGATGTAAATGTTCCTTGCTCTTAAATGGGCAAACATTATGGCTACAAGATAACCAAGTCTTCCAGAAACAGTTAAATGCTTAAATGCAAATAAAACAGTTTCAGATTACCGGCTTATTCATACCATAAAGAATAAGAGAATACTAGACAGGTATAATTGAATAATAAAAACACATACAAATAATAAAAAAACACACATCATTTTTTTTTTTCTTCTGTGGTACAGGGATAGCCGACTTAGCATAACAAGGTAGGTTGAAGGAGGCTGTGAACAAGGAACAGGGTCACCTTTTGGATGCTTTGATATAACGTTGTACAAAGAGAGAGGGCTTTGAAGATGTCAACATTATACTTGATCTGGCAGGTATCTTGATGATTCCAGTATGTCTTCCAGGGAAAGTAAGGACAAGTAAAAAAAAGAATACATTTGCAAACCTACTTGATTTGCCCAGAAATAGGTGTTATGTGGCACAAAAGGCTAACTGCAAGCTTGATGAACAAAGATATCATTTAAGTGATAATTGAATGCCATCAGTGAATCATGTAAGAGACAACAGATATATGAAGTTAGGGTAAACTTAAAGGGTTCTACATAGATGAACAAATAATTTAAAAACTACACATGTATGAATCTTTCTATCTTCTCTATACAAAACTTGTTACGATAAAGTATTCAGGCTTATGACCACCACATAGTTCAATGATGCAATGTAAACCCCATGAGGTAGGTTGAAGGAGGCAGGTTGAAAAGCAACCATAAACAATACAACTTTACACTGAAAATGCCAAATCCTCCCCCCCCCCATTTGATTAGATACAGAGAGGTCAGTAGTAATCCACAGAATGCCAAGGGGTGATTGAGCTGTTGCAACAAAAAGCGCTGAGAAAGACTCATTGCCAAGGAGGCCATAGAAAGGTCCAGGCCACAACAGATGTTGTAAGTATTAACTAAGTGTCTTGCGGACAGGATTCTTTCCTTCAACCAATATGTCTCAGGACGCCTAGATACAGAACTGTGCCCACAGCTCTCACAGTTTTTGGCTTTAGACAAAAGATACTGGAAAAGGCACAAAATATGCATATTGCATGAACAATCCAAAAGTGACTTATCAAGTAAGCTGTTACCTTTACTTGTTCAAGTAAAGAAATTGACCTAGGTCTCATGTTAGATTTGCCCCGAACACAATACTGTACACTTCACAACATGAACACTTACAAGGTTATTCAATAAAGTGCAAAGAGCAAAGTTGCAAGTGAAAAGTGGGGTATCAATACCAAACACATTTTTTGTGCTGGCCAGAGTCCAGCAAAGTGAATCTAAAACAGACTATTATCAGCTACATTGTTCTTAGCTCCGAGGACTCCATTGCCATGCTCCTCTATGTTATGGACTATAGAAAAAGGGAGAGGTTCTGTGGTCCTGATACAGAAGGGTGAGGGAGGGTTGTCATTCTACAAAATACAGGAAAAAAGAAAACACGGCCATTACATCAAAGGACTATTAAGCTGCAATATACTACATTCATGTTTTTGGTTTAGATAAGCTTTAAGATGTAGTCACCCTTACTGCACTTTTTACTTAGTGCTTCACTTCTTGCACTGTTTACTGAATAAGGCAGTTGGTGTAATTCTCTTTGGCTAGTCTTCTAGTTAAGCTAGGACTCCTATGCAGTTTTGGAGAACATAAAAATAATGCACCGGTCCTTATTGGTGTTAAGTTGCACCTGGAAATAGGAATTTTGTATGAGCTTACTATAAATGGAAACTATTTACCTAGTCTTGTAACCAAAATATGTATAAGAAAATATCATTACACATTTTGGGATTATGGGGGGCAAACTGTTGCAGAGTCTCTTTAAAGAGGGTGTTTAGCCATGGCACGTCCTGGAGTTTGAAACAACAAATTTAAGACAACAGCAAAGTAAAGGGCTGTTTAAGAACAGACAAGGTTGTTTACATCCCAATGTAAATGCACAGTGATGGTTAAAGGACTTTTGATTTATGGATGGAGCTCTCTTTGATATGGTGAAAAACTGATATGCTAGTAAAGAAAAATCTAAATAGATTCCCATTAACACCCCCTCCTCTCCTTTAACAGAAAGTCCTCTATTAGGCCACCAAGAAGGCATATGAAATGTAAAATGTTTTACAACACTTACCTTGTATGGAAAAAGTAGCACAAAATGCCTAATTCCAAATAAGTAAATGTCAATTATTTACCACAAAACACTTTCAATAAATCTCTGGTCAACAATTCGCTCCCTGAATATTATGGTGTGTCTGGGACATAAAATGATCAAATTTTGGTAAATAATCCTATCTTACAAAATGATGAGACAGGAGGGTGATAACACTTACCTTGTATGGAAAAAGTAGCACAAAATGCCTAATTCCAAATAAGTAAATGTCAATTATTTACCACAAAACACTTTCAATAAATCTCTGGTCAACAATTCGCTCCCTGAATATTATGGTGTGTCTGGGACATAAAATGATCAAATTTTGGTAAATAATCCTATCTTACAAAATGATGAGACAGGAGGGTGATGAACATTTTTTTATTTACAAATATACTAAAATATCTCCGACAGTGAGTCACACCTGCTCCCCTCACCAACCCCCC